GTTTGTGTGGAAGTCTCTATAAACACCAGGCTGCAGTGTGGCCCCCTTGGCAGGCAGCCCTAGCAGTGAGTTTTGATTTCCTTCTTCTAGTCACCATCACTTTCTACACTTTCTACAGTAAATGAGAAACGTTAGTTTAAAAAATAAACTTAAGAATCACGAACCATTGAAATTGATTACATTGCCACATCTAGATGCTGAAAGACACAGGATTTGGGGCTGGGAGATGGCTGAATCGATAGATAAGGTGCTGGCTACGTGGGCCTGAGGACCGGAGTTTGCATCCTGCACCTGTGTCAAAAGCTGGGCATGGTGGCCAGACAACTTAGCCAAAACAGCATCAAACAGAGTCCCTGTCTCAAAATAACAACAACAACAATAATAATAAGGTAGATGAGGAGTAACATGCAAGGTTAACCTCTAGCCTCCAAACACAAATGCACATGCACACTTGTCCTCCATGCACACACAAATAAATACACTGAACATAAAATGACACTATTCCACAATTTTCCTGGATAGAGTTTGTCTTGGTCATGCTTTTGGCCCTGCCATTGGTCTCATCTTCTTCACAAATGAAGCTACGAGAAAAATTAATTAATTAATTAATTTAAAAAACACCACCACCACCCACAACAACAAAAACCCTACTACCCTCTGCCAAGTCTCACCAATTAATCCCTGAGACTAGAGGGTGAGTGGGTGAGTGGTCCTCTGTGGGGTTGTTAATCCTGCCAGAATAGGAGGCCTTCTGGATAGAAACATCTGGAAAGCGCTACTTACACTCTGCACCGGGTCCCTCAGCCTGTATTATTATAGAGGACAGTTCTAAAGAGATGTAGCCAGTCACCCGAGCGGTGCTGAGACGCACATAGTTTACTTGACAGCATTTACAAATTATGTCTCTTGGTCAGAATAACTTACGCTGGAAACGCTTCCATATGCTGAAGTTGGACACACCACAGTAAGAAGGAAGAAAAGAGAGCCTTCGAGTAGCCGGCTTCCATATACACACTCGACTGTAATACGTGCAGATTAGTAATGCTGCCCCTAAAGAACTGACCTTAGATGGGTTTCTAATTCTTTCTGCTGTTCTCTGCAAACCATCAAGAGAAGCAATTTTACCACAGAACAATGGGTCAGTAAGAATTCAGTTATGAATGTATCTACGCAATGAAAGCAACTGTTGGACAGCAATTATAAATCTCATTTGAACCAAAAACTATATGACTTTTTCTCTCAATTCCTTTCTGTTCTTTCAAGTCCAGGAAGAGGCAATTTCCACCTTCAAATTCCAAAAATACCTGTGTGTGTGAGCACACATGTGTGTGTGTTCCTGTGTATTCATGTGCCCATGTATGCCCCATGTATGTGCAGGGAAAAGGAAAACCTCAGGCGTTGTTCTCAGTCACCACCCACCATTTTTTCTTTTTTGAAACAAGCCCTCTCACTGATGTGGAGCTCACCAAGTGGGCGATGATGGCTGACCAGTGAGCCCCAGGCATCCTCCTGTCTTCGTCTCCCAACAGTGGGATTACAAAGGTGTACCATCACTCCTGGATTTTTAAATATGGGCCCTAGGGATTACAGCCAAGAACCCACTGAATGAACTATGTCCTGAGTCTCAGTTCAGTCCTTTACATCCTCAATCTAGAGCAGAGGTTAGCAAACTTTGGCCCACCAGCCAAATCCAGCTCACCACCTATTTTTGTAAATAAAGCTTTACTGGCACACAGCCATGACTATTCCTATATACACTGCCTCTGGCTGCTTCCCGACCAACCAGAACTAAATGATTGTGACAGAAAGCATGGCCCAGAAAACCTTAAAGTATTCTCCACAACGCTTTACGGACAGTGTTGCAGGCTCAGTTAACGAGCATTTCCTTAGTCTTGTCTCTTTATAGACAGTGTTGCAGGCCCTGTTAATGAGCATTTCCTTAGTCTGCCTCTAGCAGGCCTAAATGGATGCTACTCCTGCCAGCCCTGCTTTTATTGCCAGGTTTTTGGGGATCCCCAGGATGACAGCCACAGTTGCACAAAACTCTTAACAAAACATTGAAAAGCAACCTACCACCCAAGGAAGCCCTAAGCGCCTTCTTCTCTTGGCCGAATGGCAAGAACCTTGGCAGCCAAGACACATGTGTTTATTATGTGCAACAACTGTTCTGAAATGTCTTTCCCTCGAGTGAAGAAATCTATAAATGGCAGGGGGCGGGTTTAAACCTAGTCTTCGATTGCAAAGTTCTTAATAATATTTTGACAAGGAGGTACTGTATACCAAGATACGATACTGTTTGCCTTAATGTTTTAAATTCAACATTCTAAAGCAACTCATAAACCTTTCTCTTTCCATTAGCGGTTAAAAGAAAACCTTTGAGAAAGATGAGGGGATGGTCTAGACAGCTCAGCAGGTAAAGGTTTTGTTCTACCAAGCTTGATGACCTGAGTTCAATTCCCAGGACCAATACAGTGGAAGGAGAGAAATGACTTTCATAAGTTGTCCTCTGAACTCCACATGTGCCCCTTGGCATGCATTACACACAACACACCTAACACCACACACACACACACACACACACACACACACACACACACACACACACACACGAAATTTTTTGCTTATTATTATTTTTTTATATATCTCAACCCTCCCACCTCCCCTCTTCCCTCAACCCCCCATCCACTCTTCTTCCTCTGTTTCTCTTCAGAAAAGGGACAGGCAGGCCTCCCATGGATCAAGTTACAATGATATATTAAGGATGAAGCAATCTGGTAGGAACAGGTCCCAAAAGCAGGCAACAGAGTCAGAGACAGCCCCTGCTCTCACTGTTAGGGGTCTCACAAGAAGACCAAGCTACATAGTTGTAACATATATGCAGAATGCCTAGGTCAACCCATGCAGGCTCCTGGTGGTCTGTTCAGTCTCCGTGAGCCCCTATGAGGCCAGGTTAGCTGGTTCTGAGGATTTTCTTGGGGTGCTCTTGATCCCTCTGGCTTCTACAATCCTTCCTCCCCTCTTCCTCAGGATTCCCCAAGTTCTGCCTAAAGTTTGGCTGTGGGTCTCTGTATCTGTTCCCATCAGTTGCTAGGTGAAGCCTCTCTGATGACAGTTGGACTTAACTAAATGAAATGTAATTAAAAAATTTTAAAGAAAAATGAAGGTAACATCTATTTGGGAACCTTTCACCATGAGACTCAATACATATAACATTCAGGTTATCTTGAAAGACAAGGGGAGACAGCAAAATAATTGGATTATTTATAAAATATTTTTAACTGTGATCGCATATTTGAGCATCAACAAGAACAAAAAGAACACCATTAGGGCAAGTCAACTCTTAGTCCCAATAATACCAAACAATAATAATTGACAGTACAATAATAATTTTTTACAACCTTCTACTTATTAAAATTGTGACTGCGGGCCGGGCGGTGGTGGCGCATGCCTTTAATCCCAGCACTCGGGAGGCAGAGCCAGGCGGATCTCTGTGAGTTCGAGGCCAGCCTGGTCTCCAAAGCGAGTACCAGGAAAGGCGCAAAGCTACACAGAGAAACCCTGTCTCGAAAAACCAAAAAAAAAAAAAAAAATTGTGACTGCGGATGAGACAACAGAGTGAGAGGTTATAAATTTCCAAACCAATCTGGCAAAATGAAGTCTGGACCTTGGCCAGGTCCCAATCATTCCATTAGTTAGTCATTCAACAAGTATTGCATTGAGCACCTACTAGGCCAGGCTCCACTCTAGAGTTAGAGCAGTGTGTGAGAACACATTCATGGAGCTGTCTCGCAGTGGGGAACAAAAGAGACTTCTACCTGGTTCAGAAAAACAGAACATAAGCCCTGGATCTAAAAGAAATTAGATTAATCAGATGAGAACCCCAAACACTGCTGGGGGAGGGTGAAACCCTTCACACATTCCTTCCTTTCTCGGTCCGTTTTTGCTTCTGAACTTCCCCTGTGAAAACCCTCTCCTAGCAAAGCCCACTTCAATACAAACAGCGACTCTCCTCTCAAGACCCAGGCAGCAGACACGGCCTTGAGGTACTCTGTCCAAGTGTCATGTGTCTATTTCTTAGGAGCCCCAGACGCATGGCCAGGCAGCACCAAGCTGGCTCATGTCCCAGGGCAAAGTTCTCCATGAAGTGGGCAGAACTTGAGGGGAAGTGAGTTCTTCATGTCCTGGGGGCCTAGAAAGCTGGCCTCTGGGGACTGAATCCAGGGCTCTTGTCAACTGTCTAGCCCAGTGGTTCTCAACCTTCTAATGCTTCAACCCTTTAATACAGGTCTTCATGTTGTGGTGACCCCAACCTTAAAACTATTTTGTTGCTACTTCATAACAATAATGTTGCTACTGCTACGAATCATAATATAAATATCTCTTCTGCAGGATACCTAATTGCAATCCCTGTGAAAGGGTCGTTCCACCCAACCCCGAAGGGGTCACGACCCACAAGTTGAGAACCGCTGGTCTAGACTAATTGAAAGGGAAGCACCAATGGGGTGGGAGGACTAAATGCCGAGTTCTTCCTTCCCAGAGCCCTCACCGGCAGTAGAGACTGGGGCCCTCCATCGGTGATCACAGCTCCCTATGGAGAGGGCGGTTTCCTCTCATATCACATTAGCTTCTCCAATCTTCGCCTGCCTATGGCCTTGAAGGTGTGCTCCCACATGTACCAGCTCTGGCAAGTGCTACCCACTCCTGAGTGGGGCCTCTGCCTGCGAGCGAGCCTTGGCCATGCTTTCCCACTCAACTCGAGGGACACAGGCTGCAAAGCCAACTCTGCTCTCAGATCAGAGACTGACTCTGAGCACTGGCTTCATATCTGAGTTCCAGGAACTTGGAAAAGATGGAAAGACTGCCGAATATTCCAGAAACAGGCTTCTACTCAGAATCAACTGGAACTAACCTCCAGGTAGAACAAGGATAAGAGAAGTGGCCACGGTGGCCACGCCCCCTCTGGCAGAGAAGCACAATGGTTCTGAGCGGCCAGGACTTACCTTTCTGTGTTCAGTAGAGGGCTGCGGGCAAACAAGCTGAGAACCAAGCATCAGGAGGGCGCCCAGCACACTAGGGAAGAAAAAGAGCAACAGGCAGGGCTGTGAGTCCGTCCTGGCAGCACCGAGAGGAAGCTGGCATCACCAGCTCATTACTAGAAGGGAGGGGTCCTGCCACCCTGGGTCCTAACCCAGAGAAGACACAGAGGGAAAATGAAGCAGCCCCATGCTGGGGAAAGTCATGACAAATGTGGGTTCAAATCCCAGACCTACTACCTCCCAGCAGGGCCTGTAGGTCTGAGATAGCTTCTAGGAGGCTCAGTCTTCCCCTTTTAAAATGAGAATTTGGCTCAAACTTTGAGAAGTTGGCTCAAAGGTGTGGAGGATAAGACAGCCACCACCCCTCACAGAGAACACAGCACATGCCAGTGTGTGCCCGTTAGCCGAGTAACAAGATCAGCCCCTCCCCCAATAGCCCAGTCTTGCTTTAGAGCCCTACTCTGCCCATCTGTAGCCCTTGCGGTATCACAAGGGATTAGCTACCCTAAGCCCCACTGTCCCCAGCCCTGACTAGGACTTGTCATCAAGTAAAGATACAGATTTTTATTTTTTCATTTATTTGTGTATGTATGTATGTATGATATATGTATGTACGCATGTCTTTTGGCCTGGCCTAGAGGCATTGAAAAGCAGTATGAAGCCCTAGCTGCAGATACATGTAGGCATGGATCCCAATGCTGCCGTTCCCACCTGGACGATGCTGGGCAAGCTAAAATCTCTAAGTGATAAATATTCTCATCTTCTGTGAGGATCATGGAACACTGTGGTGGTTTGAAAGAAAATGGCCTCCAAAGAGAGAGGCACTATTAGGAGGTGTGGCCTTGTGTAAGGAAGTGTGTCACTGTGGAGGTGGGCTTTGAGGTCTCATATATGCTCAAGCCAGCAAGACAGTTCACTTCCTGTTGCCTGCACAGGATGTAGACCTCTCAGCTCCTTCTCCAGCACCACATCTGTCTGCATGCCGCCATGTCCCACCATGATGGTAATGGACTAACCTCTGAAAATATAAGCCCCTCCAATTAAATGTTTTCCTTTATGAGAGCTGCCATGGTCATGGTGTCTCTTCACAGCAACAGAAACACTAACTGAGACAAACAAGATAGAGGGGAAAAATATGTGGCTAGCAAGTCAGAGGAGTAACAAGTGGTGGCAGGACTGGAGAGATGGCTCAGTCAGTCCAGGGCTTGTCATCAAATGTCATGCCCCGAACACACATTGTAACAAAAAGTCAGTGGAGTGGTGGGCACTTGTAATCCCAGTGTTGGGGAGTTAGAGACAGGAGGGGCCCTGGGGCCCCAAGGCCAGCCAGCCTAATGTGGATACTCAGGAGTTCCACAGCCAGTATGCAACCTTGTCTAAAAACAACAACAACAACAAAACCAGTACAGTACCCAAGGAATAACACCTAACACTACTCTGGCCTTCACCCGTGTATAAATGTACACACACACACACACACACACACACACACACACACACACACACACACACGAGAATTTAAGTGCCAGACTCTGGGTTTCTAATTAACAATGCCATTATTCTGAACATTCCTGGATCACTGCATCTTATGAATATATTTTAGTGCTTAACCGTGAAAGCAGTTAAATTATGCAGCAATTCCCAACCTTTTTGAGGCCTCCATCACTGAGGGGTACAAAAGAAAAAAAAACCACCACTCTGTGGGGCTAGAGATGAGGAGAACACAGTGGCATCTGGGAGCCAAGGGTACAGAATTAGAGGAGGGCTCCACCCCTCTCTAAGCATCCAGTATGCCACCAGGCCAACAGTATTATATTTACTATTAAAGGCGAAAGTATGAAAGGTGGATTTATTACTTGCTGGGCCTCTAGCTAGACCACTGTGACCCAGTAGGATTTCCCGTGGCGGCCACAAGTTCTAGCTGCACTCTCCAATGCACAAACAAATCTACATCAATGCTTCTCAACCTGTGAGTCTCCACCCCTTTGGGGGTCAAATGACTCCTTCGTAGGGGTTACCTAAGACCATCCAAAAACATAGATATTTACATTACGATTCATAACAGTAGCAAAAATAGCGAAAACAATTTATGGTTGGGATTACCACGACATGAAGAACTGTATTAAAGGGTCACAGTGTCAGGAGGGTTGAGAATCACTGCTCTACACTGTTTGGCACCCACAAGGCTTATAGTAAAGAACAGGTCTCAATGGTGATGTTACAGAGTCCGCAATTAACTCTAAAAAACATTTACTAAAACAACAACAAAAAGTATTAATCTATCAAAAACATCCCAAACACACTTTCATTTCAACTTTTGATTTTGTTCCATTTTTTAAGGAATATTTTTTAGGACAGTGCCTTTTCTAGATAGTCTCGGCTGGTCTGGCACTCTCTGTGTAGTCCAGGTTAGCTTTGAACTCTTACAAATCCTTCCCCCTTGGCTTAGTCCCTTCTGGGTAATCCTGGCAAGCTAACATCTCTAAGCCACAAATACTTTCATCTTCTGTGAGGATCACAAAGCATGAGGACAGGCGCAAACATTCCAATCCTGGTTAAGTCAGAGAAGATATTTAAGAACCTGGGGCTGGGGAGATGGCTCCCTGGGAAAGCACATGAGGTGTGAGCAAGAAGACCTGAGTTGGTCTCCAAGACCCTTGGAAAAAAGCGGCACGGTGGCACAAACTAGTTTTTGTCTTTCCCCCCACCCCTTTTATTTAAAATACTCTTTCTCACATAATCTATCCCCTCCCCCCCCTCCTCCCAGTCCCTCCCCACTGTCCCTCCCCTCCGGATCAACTCCCTTTCTGTCTCTCCTTAGAAAAGAACAGGCTTCTAAGGGATAACAATAAAATATAATAAGATAAAAACTATCACATCAAATTGGACAGGACAGACCAACAGAAGGAAAAGAGCCCAAGGAACAGCACAAGACTCAGAGACCTTTTCATTTGCACACGCAGGAACCCCATAAAAACACTAAACTAAAAGCTGTAACATATATGCAGGGGACCTGGTGCAGACCCGTGCAGGCCCTGTGCATGCTGCCTCAGTTTCTGTGAGTTCATATGAGCTCTGCTCATGTTGATTTAGGGGACCTTGCTTTCATGGTGTCCTCCATCCCCTCTGGCTCTTACACTTTTTCTGCCTCCTCTTTCAAGGATTTTCCTGAGCTCTGTGGGGAGGGATTTGGTGAAGGCATCCATTTAGGGCTGAGAGTCCCAAGGTCTCTCACTCTCTGCATAATGTCTGGCTGTGAGTCTCTGCATTTGTTCCCATCTGCTGCAGGAGGAAGCTCTGATGGTGGCTGAATAAGGCACAGAGATCTATGAGTATAGCAGAATGTCATTAGGAGTCCTTTTATCACTGTTTATTTAGTTTTTTCTTTTCTTTTTTCAGACCAATATCATTTGGTTTTACCCTAGGTCCTGGGTTATCTAGTCTCTGGTTCTTCATCATCCAAGCAGTGTTGGGTATGGGTTCTATCCCGTGAAGCGGGCCTTTAGTCAGATCAGACATTGGTTGGTTACTCCCACAGCTTTGTGCCACCACTGCACTAGCATATCTTGTAGACAGAATACCATTGTAGATCCAAAAGTCTGTGGCTGGGTTGGTGTTTACATTCCTCTTTTGGTAGAATGCAGAGTACCTTCCTGTACCAAAGATTCTAGAACACAGGAGTGGGTGAAGGCTCTCTGTAGGCACCGGCTTGACTTCTCCATGGTCACTGAGGTGTGGAGGTGTTGTCTTCAGCAATGGGGCCTTGCTGTCAGTTTGTGAAGAGCAACCTGTAGTCTTGGCAACAGCCTGTGTTGTTTGGGATTCCTGTGGGATCCTTGGGCCAACAACTCAATAAGATGTAACCCAACCCCAGTAGTGGAAGCTTCATTTGGTGAGAAGAGATAGCCAGTTGGGCCTCTGTCTCCCCTATTATTTGGCGATTTCATTTAGATCACCTTCATATATGTATATATATATATATTTAGGAAGTTTCTACTATATTAGGTTTCCATACACTCCTCAACTGCCCCTTAATTTTATCTGTCTCTCCCTGTACTCCCTCTCTTAACCCCCTCTCCTCACACTTGATCCTTCTAGTCTTCCCATCCATCCATAATTATCTATTCTACTTACCTTTCCTTAGGAGATCTATCTGTTCTCTCTAGTCTCTTACTCTACACCTACCCTCTACGGTTCTATGGATTAGAGCTTGGTTATCATTGACTTAACAGCTAATAACCACAGGTAAGCAAATACATATCGTACTTGCCTTTCTAGGTCTGGGATACCTCACTCAGAATGATTTTTTTCTACGTTTTCCATTCATTTGCCTGCAAATTTCATGATGTCGTTCTATTAATGGCTAAGTAATACTCCATTGTGTAAACATACCACATTTTCTTTATTCATTCATCTTTTGAGGGACATCTAAGTTGCTTTGAATTTCTGGCTATTATGAATAGATCAACAATGAACATGGTTGAGCAAGTGTCTCTTGGCAGGATGAAGCGCCCTTTGAGTTTATACTAAGAGTGACATAGCTGGATCTTGAGGTAGATTGATTCCCATATTCCTGAAAAATCACCACACTGATTTCCACAGTGGCTGTACAAGCTGGCACTTCCACCAGCATCAGATGAGTGTCCCCCTTACTCCACATCCTCATCAGCATGAGCTGTCACTTGTCTTGTTGCTCTTAGCCATTCTGACTAGTATAAGATGAAATCTCAAAGTAGTTTTGATTTGCCTTTCCCTGATGGCTAAGGATGTTGAATATTTCTTTAAGTGATTTTCAGCCATTTGAGTTCCTCTTTTGAGAATTCTCTGTTTAGATCTGCACCCCATTACTTAAATGTGTTATTTGTTTTCTTGGTATCTAGTTTCTTGAGTTCTTTATATATTTTGGATATTAGCCGTCTATCAGATGTGTAGTTGGAAAAAAAATATCCCATTCTATAGGCTGAGTGGCACGAACTTATAAGTCTAGTCCTAGGAAGGTAGAGGCAGGAGAGTCCAGGGACTTTCTGGATAGCC